GCGGGGAAGTCACCGCTCCAGTCCCGGACCGAACCGCACCGGACGGAAGGGCACTGTACCGCACCCCGTCCGGTCCCGTCCGGTCCCGTCCGGTCCGGTCCGGGGGGAGGGTGCCGGACCCGACGAACCGGACCGGACTGGACGCTCGTCCGGTCCGTACGCTTGCAAGTATGGATCAATCAGATTGTCACCCAACTTCCCCGTGCCCTCATCGTTTTTGTTCATAACACATGGGATGAAGAGTTAGATGTGGTGAAGGGGTTGTACAACAGCTCCGTTCACTTTGCCACCGGTATGCCACCAAACAGGTTGCAGTATGGATGGAAGATCCGCAACCCTCTCGCCTTCTTTCTCCCTGATCAGTCGCTTCGTCTGACTCCAGGCATGCCTGGCTACGCTAAGTATGCTTGCTCTAAACTACTGTCACTACAATCAACAAGATCCAGGATGCCATCGTCAAGTTCGCCAACAGGCGATGCAGACCTGCGACATTCACAGAAGGAGATTATGTTTAGGTTAAAATGTTTGAGTTTTCAGAAGAAGAAAGAGTTTTTCGTAAGCTTCTTCTGTTGTACTATGGTCCCTGGGACGTTCTGAAGGTGGTAGGGGGTGATGCTTTTTGTCCTTTGCATGTAATTGACGTGCCACCTCATCTGGACACGTACCCAGTCTTTTACGCATCTAAACTGTATCCTTACACTGCTGCTACTTCCTTTCCTCATCGTGAGCCTATGATGAAATTGACAGTATTGTGACACACGCAGGTAAAGGGAAGGACAGACAGTACCAAGTTCATTTTCTGTATCACCCATTAGAAGAATTCTACTGAATATCAAGGACGGACTTACGCAAGAACGCACCTCGTTTGTGAATGTGTACTAACGTCACATTGTTTCTGGACATAAGCTCACTTTCACTGCAACTCACTGCATGTGAACATAAAGCAGCACTCTTTGCAGTGATTGCCTACAATGCATTTTGTAGGGACTCAGACTGAGTTACTCGCTCAAAGGGACCTCGCTCTTGAGGGGGGGTGATGTAATGACCTGCAAAATCACAGACTGAGAACTCTGCTGTTTTGTGAGTTTTGCCGCTGGATTGTGTGACTTGCTGAGATTCCTGCTTTCTGCTGAGATTTCTAAGTATGTGTGTGTGCTTGTTTGCTGAGTTTCCGAGTGTTTGTCTGAGCGCATGATTGCTTGGGGCTGTGTTTTGACCCGCCGGAGTAGTCGTATGCTGGGAAGGCCCTCGGGCCTGGTACTTACCTGTGGCCGTGCCTTTGTGGGTTGCAGCAAGGTGGAGTGGTAGGCTAGGCCCACGTAGATGGAAAACACTTGAGTAGTGGGTAGGTAGGCAGAAGAAGACAGAAAGTTAGGTACCTTTGGAGGCCGAAGGGATTTTGGATTCCAGTAAGTTTAGGTCTAGGGGTACCGGTAATGATGTTTCCCTCCAAAAGGATGAGGTACCAGTAGCTTGGGAGGCCGAGCCGCCTGGAAAGCCACCGCCCAAGGAGGCAGCTGCCCTGTATATGTTCTGGAAGAGCGAAGAGCTCTTCCTCATTTTGCGGTGTGCAAGTTTGGCGTCACGCTGCTGGAGCAAGCACTTGGTGTGTCCAGCGCTGGGGGGGAAGAAGGCAGCCTAGCCCCTCCACTTCAGCCATGGTGGAGCAGACCGGGAAGGAAGGCTCTGGGGTGTAGGAGGGGGACGAGGAGAAGGTGAACTAGGAGGAGAGTGACAGGGGAAACTGGCTATGGTGGATGACATCTTCATCTTCGTGGTTGACACTGAATTCAGAAGGCCCCAAAGGGGGTGAACTTGTTCCAGTAGGACTTCGGGGCAAAGATAGGCATGGCGGCCATAGTAGAGAGGGAACATCAGCTTTGCGTTTTCCTTTTGAACATCGGAGTCAGGTTCCGCTAGTCTCCCATAGCCATGTACTAGTAGAAAGAGGAAGGTGTAGGACATGGCTATGGTGAACCTCTTGAGTTGCTGGCAGTAAGGAGGAGATTCCGACATTGGTTCTGGTTCATTCTTTCAATGTTATTGTTATTATTATTGTAAATAGAAGATGTTGGGCAAGTTCAAGGAAGTTGGAGATGGTGGCGAGTTGGAGAGGGATTTGAGATTGATCTTTGCTGGTGTACATCTTCTTCTCCTTCCCTTCTTTTTTTTCTTTTTTCCTTTTTTTCTTTTTTTTGGGAAATCTCCTTCCATTCTTATTTCTTCTTCTTCCTTTGTCTATTTCTCTTCCAAAGCTCTTGCATTTCAGTTGCAATTGAATGGCATTGTCTTTCTTTGAGTCAAGATATCCAGGATCATAACAATAATAGTAAAAGAAGTTAAGAACCACATGAATACATTTTCCAGTGAAACGGAGCCAGCTTTTTGTCTCTTAGCAAAGGAAATGTGGTCCTGCAGGTGCTGAAGACAAAATTTGTCATTGAAGCCGGAAATGTGAAGGTGCAGAAGTCCAAGCCAAATGCGATGTACTCTCGGAAGTTCATGTGCAAGTACGGCATTAAGTTGTTTGCATGCGCAGGGACCAGGTTCCTACTTGCGTTTGTGTTCTACAGTCAAATCCTCTACATGAAGGACATCTTTGATGCAGTTGGTTGGCTACCAGATCCAAAAGAAATGAGTGGTTTCATGGAAATGAAAAGTATCGCAAGAGCTCAAGCCATTATGACAGCAGTTGCCATTATCCCAGGATACTGGTGGGTTGGATCCTTTTTGTTTATTCATTTCTTTGCTCCATCGTTCCTTCATTTGTTCATTCCTCTAGTTCACTTTGTCTCCTCCATCACCTCCTCCTCCTCCTCCTCCTCCTCCTCTCTCCTCCTCCTCCTCAGCCTTTGTTGTCAGAGTCCCAACTACTATAAGTCCTGCCATATTTTTAACATGACAGTCTGTTTTTTATTTTTCTCTCAAAAGAAAAACACCAGTTGGCCCTGTTAGTGATCGTGAAACGTGCACCGACCACTAGCAGGCCATCTGTGGGCTCCGATCTATTTGGTGGGGAGCAACACCTGCTGGAAAACGGGTCCAGAGTCCCTTACACAAAGTCATATACAGAACATCCTGCGCTTAATGCAGATCTGCACATGCACTCTGGTTCTGCGTTGTTTTTTCGTGCAATCTTGAGAGAACATGCTAGTAGTGAGTTGGCTAGTCAACCCACCTTTGGGAAAACAAGAAAAAAAGGATTATCATAGAAACTGACCGGCCCCAGGTAGTTCAGCATTCTTTCATATTTGAACTCAGGTATGTTTATCGACGGTTCATGGGTGTACCATTGCCATTCAACCACATGGGCTCAACCCATCTTGACCGCATGGCAAGTGAGATTCTCCTCCTCCTGCACAGTCAATGAACATCAGCCTCATCAGGTCATCTTTTTTTTTTTTTTTTTTTTTTTTTTTGAACTCGAAAAGGCTCCAATCTATTCGCAGGGAGCGTCATGTGCTGGGAGCCGGGCCCAGCGTCCCATATGAACATTTTTTAGAGCAAAGTTGAGGTAGCAGGGCCATTACCTGGCTTCGGCTGAGAAAAGCAAATCATATGCACAACTACTCGAGTCATCTCATCATATCATTTTTTTCTGGAATCTAAGGTAAGAGGCAAAATACAGCAAGGAAAGATCTTGGCCCCTTGAATGACCATGCGTGTGACCCTGGCTAAAGAAGGGTCGAATCAATGTATCATGATGATGGAGCTCCAAAGCCACAAATCAGCACATCTTCAAGTGCCAAGCATTAGATCACACACGCTCAAGCAACGCGCATGAAACACAGAACCGGATTGGAATCGAAAATCCATATATATGCCAGACGGAAGGAAAGTGGTAAAGTCTGAACGGTCTGGAATCTGGATAATTAATTTAATTAAAAGATAGCGTACAGGTAGGGCACTCCTTCGCGCATCAAGACGAAGCGTAGAAAGATGCATAAACAAAGCACGTCCGCCGAATGATCGTAGCCCAAATGACAGACTTTCTCAGACAAGGCAACTGATCCTACATCATCCACAATGCAAAACTCAAACGTGAGAAAATGCAAGACTTGCTGAACTCAGAGGAAGAAGTGGAGAGAGAGAAACAGAGGAATAGAGAGTAGAAAAGGATGAAGATTTGCACAAGTTGGAACCAAAGTCTTCCCTCTTCTCTTTCTCCCTCATCTCATCTTCGTCTCCCTTCCTCCACCTCTTAAAACAACCAGTTGAATTGAGTCAATTTAAACTTAATTACAAAAACAAATCGACAAATGAACAGGAATCATATCCGCGTATTTCCCCTTACTGCCAGCACTCAAAGCGCTCTCCTTACAGCCCGAACCTCACACCTCTCCTCTTGATTGCATCTCTAGTTATGGCAGTTCATCCACGTCCATCACAGATGTCCAGAGGACAATGCAATGACTGCTGTGTCTCTCAGATCTCATCCTGCCATAGCCACACTCTCGGATGAAGTCCAAGACCAGCTAGTACCCACACAGGGGCCTTCTAGATGCAGCGCCAACCAGGAGGTCGTGGGTTTGATTCCCCACAGCTCCTGTGGCACACTTCGGGTTCACCAGTTGAGATAGTCAGCTTGGCCCCCCTGCTTGGTCTTGGCAGGGGCTTTACCCTCGTCCCTTCCATCAATTGCTAGGGGTTAGGCTCAACTCTGAGGGATAAGCTCAGCCCATGCTTGTAGATTTACCCCTTCCCTTAGTGAGATTGGGTAGATAGGTAAGTACTGTGATACTGTACTGCTCTGGGCCCCTTTGGTGAAGGGGAGTGCTGCGCTGCTAGATTTGTGGATAGATAGCATGAGGTATGCAGGTAGCTAGTGTGAGGGGGAAAATATTGAGAAAAGAAACTAGCGTAGCACTCAGAAGTTAGAGCTGTCCCCCATATATGAGGAGAACTTGGAGAAGACAACTTTTTTATCTTTATTATCTTTTTAAAAAGGAACACCAAAAAAAACTGATTATGAAAGATTGTTTCATCGGACTTGCATCGACTCATCAGGAGGCTGAACCCTTGACAATCTGTGGAATCCGCATATTGATGCTTCGGGTCATGAACCCTTTGACCCTTGTCTGAAGGCAGGACTGCCAGCGGCAACGCCACAAGTGGAACATAGCACCGAACAACAGCTCGACGAAGCACCAGGCAACACTACCGCGGCAACCCGCTGCTTAACACCGAAGCTACTGCATGGATCGACAGGGCAAGAGGAATGGCAGCAAGGCAACAACGGAGTGAGGCACATTAGACAACACGAACGACACTGCTGAACTACATGATAACCATACCTGCTGCCAAGAACGACATGGGGAGCAAGCATGACAGGCGGCAAGGCAGCGGGGGAGCATAGACAGTGCAGTCCACACATTCAACACAGCGCAAAGCAGTACATCACCTACTCACACCACAAGTGAACCCCAAAGACTGTTGGTTCACCTGCCCAGAAATGGACATTCTTCATAAAATGATGTGACAACCCTAACTAATTCCCAAACGCAAATACACAAGGAAAGACAATGCCGTTCACTTGCAAAAGAAATGAAAGAAGTTGAAAGGAGAAAGAGACAAGGGAAGAAGAAGAAAGAAAGAAAGAAAGAAAGAAAGAAAGAAAGAAAGAAGAAGAAGAAGAAGAAGAAGAAGAAGAAGAAGAAGAAGAAGAAGAAGAAGAAGAAGAAGAAGAAGAAGACGTACACCAGCAAGAGACCAATGACAAATCCTCCTTTTCTTGCCACTCACTCTCCTCCTCCTTATCTCCCCCAATCTTATTCATCAATAAATAATAATAAGAACAATGAATGGCTGAGCCAGAACCAATGTCCGAATCTCCGTCTTACAGCCAGCACAACATGAGGTCCACCATAGGCATGACCTTCACCTCCAACCACCTACAGCTGGTGATGGCTGTGGGGGACTACTAGGGGCCCTGCCCGGATGTTCACAAGACAATGCAAAAGCAGCTATGTCCTCTGCAACTCAGGCCGTCATGCCCGACTCTGCCCTGAAGCCTTCTTGATGCATCGAAACCCCTGCTGGGGCCTTCCAGGTGCAGCGCCTACCAAGGAGATGAAAATGACGTCCACCATAGCCGTTAAGTACCCCTACCACTCTCCTCCTAGTCCCCTTCTTCCTCCTCCTCCTACCTGGCGCTATCCACCATAGCCGAGGTGGAAGCCCAGGCGCTCCTCCTCCCAGCGCTCCACACAGCACTCTCCACACAGTGCTCCTCCAACCAAGCGCTCCAGCAGTGTGACGCCCAAACTTGCACACCGCAAATGAGGAGGAGCCTAGTGCTCTCCTCTCAGATATAGCGGGCAACTTGCCTCTTGGGTGGTGACTTCCAGGCCGCGCAGCCTCCCAAGCAACCGGTACCTCCTCCCTTTCGGAGGGAAGCATCATTGCAGGTCTGATATCGTCCGCTACAGGCCCTGGACTTAGACTTCAGGACTGGTACCCTAGACCTAGGCCTACCGGACTCTAAAATTCACACGGCCTCCAAAGGTACTAACTTTTTGTCTTCTTCTGCTTGGTCTATACCTACTCAAGTACTGCCCTAAGCTATTCGGGCCTACACTACTGCTACTTGAGTGCTAGCCTGCACTACTTGAATGTTTTCCTGCTGTGACCCTCAAAGTCATGGCCACTGGTTTAAGTACCGACCCCGAGGGCTTCCCAAACAAGCAAGTACCCTGGCGGGTCACACACACACTCAGGCAGACATGCACTCAGACAGGCCCATGGAAACCAGCAAGCACGCACATACACAGACTTAGAAATCTCAGCAGAAACGGGAATCTCAGCACGGCACACATTCCAGCTGCAAAACTCAGAAATCAGCAGAGTTCTCAGACTGTAATTTTGCAGGTCATTACGATGACGTGACCGCACTGAAATCGGGAATGTCTAAGCATGGATGATGTTGTGGCAATCGAAAGCAAGATCCATATATGATCTGGGGCAGCCTGTGCCTTGTGGTCCATGAAAGTCCTCTCTTGGAGTGCTAATGTTAAATTCATTGCCTTGGAAACTGTTTATGCATTTGCAGGGTAACTGCAGCCACAATAGATTGCATCGGTCGCTATGCTGTCCAGGTGCAAGGGTTCTTCTTCATGACTGTGATCTCCATTATCCTTGTGGCAACATTTGAGTGGTTTATGGAGAACAAACACAATGGGGGCTTCCTCATCTGCTTTGGTCTTGAGCTTTTCTTCATCAATTTCGGGCCCAACGTAACAACTTTCATTTTCCCAGCAGAGATCTTCCCGGGAGCATACCGTACCCAATGCCATGCAATTACCAGTGCAGCTGGGAAGATTGGTGGAGTTTTGGGAGTTTTCTTGTTCGTTGCTTTCCTGAAGAACAAGGTGCGCAGCAGCTCTCATCCTTTCCTTTCAGTAGGATTCAGTTTCACTCATGTGATTTCAATTTTCAAGTCCATTTATTGGGCATATATTTGTTCAAACTTCAAACTCTTTCCTCAACTCACCCACCCACCAGGCTTTCCATGCACATTGAACAGGCAGGCTAAACTCTCAAGGCAACATGAGAAGAGGGCAAGAGATGTCTTAACTATCTTGAAAAGCACCATGTGCAACAATTAAGAAGCCTAAACCATGTCTGCACCATGCTGATGTGGGGCAGTCCACACTATGCTGTGCCCAGGTGCAAGCATAACCTCTACAGGCGTCATTTGGGCAAGGTGTAAATGCATATGCTTGACTCTAAGAGTGTCGGTACTAATATCGATCAGATGTGTATGGCATGCGCAAGAGGAAGAGAGAAGGGTCATCAATGACCCATCACTGTTGCTCTAATGGCGAAATCAGCACTCGAGAGGTAGGGGGCGGTAACGATGACGGTGAGGAGGAGACCCCTCTCCCCCTCTCACACACTCACAATTTTTCGCTGGGGAATGTGTACGTCAAGTGTGTGTGTGTGTGTGTGTGTGTGTGTAAAGTGAGATGAGTCCACCTTGTAAGAACAACAAGGCAAGCTGAGATAGATTGGGGGCATAACTCAGCAAAAGCGAAGAACGTTGGAGGGGCGTTGTTCCAGAACGATTGCCATACGCGAGCTCATTGGATCAAACCGAAAGCAGGAGAATACCCGAAGCCATCCATACTTAGTTCAAGACCCCGTAGTCATCGGACAACAGAAGCTCGACACAAACACAACGGAAAGGAAGGGGGGGGAAAAAACAAGGGGGGAGGGGGGATATGCAAGAAAAATCAAAAGAAAATCCGAGGCACATAGTAACAGAGAACGAAACATTAACGAGTACGGATGAGCAAACCAAAGAATACCAGAGGGATCACAAAGCCCCACAGTAGAAATGTGCGCAGCAAAGGGGGAAGCTCCAAGGACCGAAAACATCGTCATTCACGATATGGAAAGCAGCGCAGACCCGCAAATAAGAAGAAAAACAGGACGAATGCCCAAACCAGAAAAAACTGAACAGGAATTACCAAAGCATCGTCGGAGGGGAAACCAAACCAACAAACCGAATATTCATAGAAACAGAGAGAGCTAGAGGTCACGAGATTTTCAACAGAGCAAGTGGCAAAGGGACCAACCAATTCTGCAATTACACCTCTCGTGAGAAGAAAATGTACCACGAACCACGTGGAAAAAGTACCGTATGAGACGCAAACTTCATACGACAGAAAGCAACTAGATAGAGAGAGAG